GCAAGGATAGTCTGTAGATCGTGTAGAGTCCTGATACGGTGGGAGGAGGAGGAGGAGGAGGAGGGGAGAGAGAGTTGGACCTGATGGTGAATGCCAGAATCCTAGGTAGCTACACAACTTTGAGAGCAGGACTGGGAAAGCTTTGTGTAGGGAAGACACCGCTGATTAACTTCATAAACCAAGCTGCTTGAAACTGTACACATTACATTTCTCTACTAAGATAACAAAGATAGCTAACTATAGTAAAATATGATCTAATAAAATGTGGGGGGAAAATGATTTTCATGTGTTACGTGAAAGGGGTTAAAATGTCAAAAGAAAGACCCTCTGTATATGCTCAGAATATATTGTTCCTGACATTAATGTTGCACAGTAAGGAGACGTGGTAGTGAAGGTAGATTCTATACAGAAAGGCCACACAGAACTTGTAGAACTGTATCAGCTGGTAAATGCTGCAGAATCACTTCTTTTGAAGGCACAGAGGTAAAAACTCCAAGCTGAAGTCTTGGTAACTGTATGTCCATTAAGTGAAAATGCAGAAACTGTTGGTTATTATCTTCCTCTCCCATCCAAGAACCAACAAACTCCAATGCTGCTTAACAGGGGTATCCACAGGGTATGGTAAAAAAATCAAGATGGAGGCCATAACAGTATGAAGCTCCACCTGTTTTTTATGTGTGTCATGTGTACAGAACTTTTATCTCACTATCATGGCTGCCATCTTGACTTTTTTGACCAAACCTTGTGGACAGTCTACTGCTTAATTTTACTGAGATCAGTGAAAGTTAGGTAGGTACTTCTACTCGAAGAAGTAGAGAGATGATAACCAAGATGTAAAATCCCTGTGAATAGGAAGTTATTAGAATAGGAAGTTATTTTAAATGAAGCATTTTTTCACTTTATCAGTCAACTAAAAATCACAGAGTGAAAGTGTCATTTTATGGCAAACACTGTATGATTTCCCAGAATAGTTAGTGCACCCATCCCAACCGCCTGGCACGTTTGAAAGTTAGTGTCATCGATTTCAGTACAATTTATTTCCAAATGTGATTGTAAGGACTCAGCATGTTTTTATCAGATTTTTGCCTGTCAGCTAAAACACCCCACTGAAAAGTAGCCTGCGACATTATAGTTATCCAGTGACAAAGTTTTATGGTTTCTGTAAATAGGCAGGGGTACTTCAAAGCAGAGCAATGCTAGCAAATGAGTAATCACAGCCTTTAGACAGAGAATGAGGAGAAACAGCCAGACAAGCAATAATTTCGTTGCGGTATTGGTATTGTCTGAACAATCATTATTCAGGCCTTTGTAATTTCAAGAATTAAGGCCTAATTATTGCTATTCAGGACACAGCAGTTGTACAAGAAAGACTTAAAGAATAAGGCGGCTATATCTTCCCAGAGGTTTTATAGCGGAGCAATTTACGGATGGTAGCCTTTATGAGGAGTGTGCTGCCTTGAAAAGCAGGATGAGTTAATTTCCTTTCCGTGCCTGATTACCAAAGGTCTCCAGAAGTTGTAGTTTGGAAGGCTTGATAGTTAATGTGTGTTGCTTTCTCCACTCTAGATCCCCCAAATGTGCTGGACTATAATTCCCAGAATTCCTAGCCAGTGCTGGCTAGAAATTCAAGGAATAGTAGTCCAACACATCCGAAGACCACCAGATTGGGAAGGCTGAAGATTAAAGTTAATACTCCCACTATACAGCAGTAGCTTAATAAAACATGACATACAGTGTATAGCACAGTGTTTCTCAGCCTTGGCAACTTTACGATGTGTAGACTACAACTCCCAGAATTCCCCAGCCAGCCTTGCTTTCAGTACAATTTATTTCCAGATGTGATTGTAAGGACTCAGCATGTTTTTATCAGATTTTTGCCTGTCAGCTAAAGGCTGAGAAATGCTGGTGTAGCAGTTTTTTCAGAACTAAACTTGATTATAGCCTGAGAGATTATACAAACATATTCACCATATTACTATTTATTATAATTGCATTCCTAAGCATTCCAACTGTTTGTTATATCATATTTCAGTACCCCTTAAGTGATTAAAAAGAAACTCTCATAAACTGAGTCAGATCATTACTCTATCTGACCTAGTGCTTGCTGTCTACATTTAGCCACTGTTACTCTTAAGCTTTCTTGCACAAGGTGGCATGCAAGAGAAATTTATTCCATCCCCATAAATTTATCTAATTGGCACATCCAGAATTAATCCCAGAAATGAAAGGTAATTATTTGTATTTGCGTTTTTCCAAACTTCGCAATACATTCCGATAAAAAATGTGTGCAAGACACCAAGAACCTGCATTTGTGATAATGCCCACATTAGACCAAATTACATACAAAGATATGAATTGGGTGAAGGGCTGGGCATATAAAAATATATGTAAAATTTTGCGTAGCCTGTTTTTGGTTCCCTGAGGCAAATTGATGCAGAAATAAGTCAGGCTGAAAAAATGGGAAAATGAAAGTGACACTGCAAGAGATCGAACTCTCTTCTGATATGATACTCAAAATCCTGGGACTTTATGCATGCACACCGTATGCTGTGCCATTGTGGAAATGCCATTTCCACAAAGATGAACAACCCTTCAAAGGTTTCAGTATTCCCCAGGGTGCAGCTGGGGTCAGACTGAGGAAGAGATTACTGCAAATGCACCTCTCCCTTGCAATAGTTTACTTGCCTCTAATCAAATTCCAGACAGGTGTACACTTGCAAATTGTCCACAGAAGGTGAGTGAATGGGCATGACAGCACTGGAGCAATAAAAATTGGCAGAGACCAAAAGTATTCAGTCTTTACCCTCCCACCTCCCATGCAGCAATGCACCGTTTCTGTGCTCCAAACTGCCTGCTTCCAAACCAGCTTTTTCCCTAGCAAAAGTGGTAATCAGGACTTTATTATAGGCATTTGCATATGGCATTCACTTCCTCTCTAAGGCCACTTTCATTACTTTGTGGGAGGAAATTCTGATTGCTGCGACTCAAAAAGGATATTGTAGAGCTGGAAAATCTGTAGAAAAGACTGACCAAAATGACCAAAGAGTGGGGATGGAACTAGAACAACAGAATACCAGTTACTGAAACTCTGTATCCATCTTATTTCCTTCCATTCCAAATGTACCTTTTTTTAATGGGCTTATCTTTTAATGTGCTCACTTGATTTTCTTTTAAGGTTCTTGGAAATAATTCTTCTGTAAAAATTGATTCAGCCAGACTGGAAGAGAAGTACTGTATGGAAAGTAGGTTGTGCTACTGTCACTTCACTCAAATCACAAATCTTTCTCTTCATGAGTAAATATAATCCAGTTTTCCTATCTTTTGGTGGGGTCCAGATATAAAGTGATTATGAGCCCATGCAAAACATCAGTATATTCTCTAAGAGTCGAGTTATGAGATTTGGGCTGCAAAAATTCAGAGCGAGGTGAGAGTGGTATGTCCATCCATGTACTCCTTGACTCTCAGCAGCCTTTTGACCATGGTATCTTTCTGGACTGGGTGCAGAGGTAGGAGTGGGGGGCACCATGTTACAATGGTTTTTCTCCTTTCTTGGTGGCTACTTACAGTTGATGTTGGTGGCAGGAGAGGTCACACCCTTGGCTGCTCATTTATGGGGTGACTCAGGGCTTGATACTCTCTCCCCTCCTGTTCAACATTTACATGAAACCTCTGGAGGAGGTCATCCATTGGTTCAGAATCCAGAATCATGAATATGCAGATTATGCATATTGTGTATGCAGTTGTATGATGGAATGGACTTATGAAGGCCAGGCTCAGGGAGATAAGTATGTTCTTAGCCCCCAGCAGGAGCGTGGGAAGTTCAAGAAGATGAGGCTGGCACCTCCCTAAGGAATTCACGGTGTTGTGGCTGGCTGGCTTGGGAACTAGGGTTCAGTCTGGGGAGATTTTCTGTCTGGAGGTTGTAGCTAATATACGCAACAGAACTGTATTTGCATTGTCTCTTGGAGTTCTTTGGGCTGAACCTGACAAGTTGTACATCTCATCCTGGGTCAGCCAAATGATGCTGTCAATGTCCTGTCCCAGTGTCTGGAGGCTGTGTGAATCTGAATGGGGAGGAACAGGCCCAGACTCCATCCTATCAAAGCCGAGTGGCTATGGATTTTTGCCTCCCCCAGATCTGGGGATTTTCCATCTTTAGTCCTGGATGACTGGTGCACAATCTGGGGAGGGGGGGGTATCTTGGACTCATAGCTCCAGCTCAAAGAGCATATGACAGCTGTAGCCAAGAGGGCCTTTGCCCAGTTACATCTGGTTTGCCAGTTGTGCCCATTCCTAGATCAGGAGGCTCTCCAAATGATCATTCATGCCCTAGTTCCCTCACAGCTGGACTACTGTACTGTGCTCTACATGGGGTTTTCCTTGAAGACCATTCAGAAGCTGCAGCTGGTCCAGAATGTAGCAGCATAGGTGGTGTTGGGCATGCCTCAGTATGTCTATGTGACACCACTGCTCTGTGAGCTGCACTGGTTGCTAGTTAGCTTCTGAGTGCAATTTATGACCTATAAAGCCCTTCACGGCACAGGGCTTGGTTATTTGAGGAACAGTGCTATCTCCCATGGTTTCTGCCCATCTGGTAAGATTGGACAGATTCAGTGTGCTTTGAGTCCCTTCAAACAAACAACACCATCTATTGTAACCCAGGAAGTGTGCCTTCTCTGTTGCAGCACCTGTCCTCTGGAATTATATCCCCCCAGAGCTCCCACCTGATGATGTTCCAGAAATCTTTAAAAATGTGGCTGTTCTTCCAGGCCTTGGGCTAGGGTATTTGTGGAGCCTCATTGGTGATGTTTTCTGTCCAAGGGGGTGTGCTGTCCAAATGCATGGGATTTTCCATTGGTTTCTTTTTACTGTTTTCTATCTTTACCATAAGCCACACAGAGTCCCTTGGCGTTGGGCAGAATCTAAATTTTGTAAATAACTAAATCAGCAAATCCCATCCCTGACCTGGCCTCCAGTTTTACCCAAAGTATTTGGCGTGCTCTTAAAAAGAAAGATAAACATTGCAACCCTGTACCTTATAATTCACTGATTATACTGATGATGGGAGAGCACTAAAGAATTCTGTTTCTCATTCTGTATAAATCTGGGGTATAACCAAAATGTCTTCCTTCCTTCTCCCTCCCAGTTTGAGGTCAGCATTATTCTTTCCAAAGTGTATAAACAAGCAGTCCTTAGCCTTACCAACCTGTGGAGGTTGCTATGCCAGCATACTCTGGGGACTGATTGCTTATAGGAGAAGGTACGGATGGAACATCCACCGAGGTGGCAGATTTCGCGGGAGAGAAAGCAACTGGGGAGGGACTGGATGGAACAGGTTCTGCCACTATGATCTCTTCTCGTACTTCAACTGCAGCAAGGAGGAAAATGAGAAGAAAATATAAACTTTAGAATGATATACATATACCAGCATTCTTTTTTCCGTATTTATCATTTTCAATAAGTTTCTAAACAAATATTGTAAGCTCCTAAAGCAGACTTTACTTTGTTGCAGGGAACTTCAGTCCAAAAATCTGTCACGCGTGAAGAGACGGTCTTCTGAGCATAAGCCTAAATCAATTCATCCATAATTTATTGCTAATACATGTATTTATTTATTAGCATTTATTAATTAATAATGCTAATAAAACAAATAAGCCTAAATCAAATACATTAAATTAATTTAGCAAGAGTGCCTAGTAAATAAATAAATAAATAATAAAGGGCAAACTGTCCACTTGCATTGAGAATGTCTAGAACAAGAAGTCTGGCTTTAGAGAGCTGAAGCTAACTGGCCAAGCTACCTGGATATGACAGGAATTTCATGCAACACAACTGCAAGGCACCAAATTGTAGAAGACTGGTGCAGACATGAGAACTGTGATCTTCTGTGAATGCTACTGTATAATAGCAGCTACATTTGAGAGTACAGGTAGTCCCTGGGTTAAGAACGCCCGGGTTACAGATGATCCATAGTTAAGAACAGAGCCTTTTGTAGCAAAATTCAAGTTAACTACACAATGGTTCAAGTTTATTACACAATAGTACTTACAGGGCATTATACAATAACACTGTTCTGGCTTACATACAAATTCGACTTAGGGACAGACCTTGGGAACAGAACTCGTTCTTAAACTGGGACTACCTGTAATTTGGAAGCAAATGGGATTTAATGTGCCTTTCTGATCCTGCAGGAAACAATGTTGTTGTTATTTTGCTAAAGGAGGAGAGACAGCTTTATATAAGCAGCCTCAAGAAAAGTTTGAAGACATGGTTGGAGTTGTTGATCAGCCTTCCCCCTCTATATGATGTATCAGCATATTAGCCCTTAATGTCTCTTTTTTTACTTCAACTTTTGTTTATGTTAGCAAAAAACCTTAAAAATTGAAACAAATTGATATGAATTCAATTTTGGAACATGCTCTGTGCCTAAAATATTTCCCAGCCTAGAAGAGACCAAGTTGCCCATACAAGAAATAAAATCCAATTTTTAACAGCTTTAATGATGATGAGGGGGAAAAAGGAAAAAAGGAAAAATCCTTAAAATTAACATTCTTTACTCTTCAATTACCAATAAAGCCATGGTTTTTCGTCATTTTTTTTTTAATTTAAGAGATTGCTGTGTTTTTAAAAATTTGAATATATATTAGCATAATTACATTTATGTCTATAAACATATTAGAATCTCCTCTGGTAATCATTTTGCCCTTGGCAAAGGGAGTTTTAAAATATGTAAAGCAGTTTGTAGGAATTCCAGGTGCATAGGAAGGGCACTAGACCAGAGCCCATTTACCATCTCCCGCTTCAAACAGTAAATAAATACTTACTTTTGGTTTTCATTTTGGGTACAACATTTAGTTTAAAAAGGCCTTTTAAAAGAGAGGAGATAGGAAGACATACACAAATGCAGGTATAATCATGACCTTATTCACCCCCCGCCCCAAACTGAATTCCCATGCCCTTAAATACGAAAACATAAGGAAGGGGTGTCTGTTTAACTGAATAGTCTCTGCATTTTCCAAATGTTTGTTTAACAGTCTACTGCTGCAGAATGTTTGAAAAATCATTATTTTGTCCATTCTTCTCCATTGCTTGGGATTTGGGCTTTTATGCTTGGGTGGGGGGGTGGAGGGGTGG